GTCCTTAGAGCAGGATTTCATGAAAGAGGATCTTCTCTCACTTCTGTAAGATTTGAAAGTTAGCTTTCCAACTCACTATGTACACATGAATTGCAGATAAATGATTTTGATCTTATTTCATGAGGTCTTGGGAAAGGCTTGTGTAAGTCCTAAATATGATTGACAGCTCTGTTCAAAACACAGCAGTTTTAAATCAAATCAAGGCTCATAAAAGATGGCCATGTTTTTGGCACAAGAATAAAAGACAATAAAATGAATAATTATTTTGCTTGTGACACCCCTGGGCATGTGAGGCAGTTGCAATCTTTTCCATTGAGAGGCCAAGGAAAACACTTGGGGTGATATAGCTGCAGCTAGAGAGAATCTTATTGCTCAGGTGGCTGGAAGCATAAATGGGTTGCACAGATTTTTTTTCTTTTTTTTTTTTTTTCAGGCTTTCATCTGCTGAGGAGGTTTAAATCCTTATAGAAAAGCTACTGCAACAAAAGGGCTTTTACATGCTTGGATTGTTGTATGTGAATTATTTGGCTTCTGCAGCAGGATCTCAAATATTAAAAACAGCAACACTCACCTTGTCCTGTTTTGCTAAACTGTGCCAGCGTAACTGGTAGAATCTGAGTAATCTTAGGGACGAGTTTAACAGAATTTAAAAATTAAACCTTACCACTACTTCAAAATACTGGCATTGTTGGCTTGGGCTCTATGAGGGATATGGTGGTGTGGTGGGCTGCCTTGCTTGGCTGCCAGATCCCTCTGTAAAGAGCCTCCCAGATGGGCTCTCATTCCCCTTCCCTAATGGGCTAGGGTGATAGGCAGGCTCATGTGTTGAGATGAAGGCTGTTTAATGAGAAAATCAAAGGTTGCATGCAAAAGCAAAGCGAAAGGAAATTTATTCACTGCTTCCCATCAGCAGGCAGGTGTCCAGGCGCTTCCTGGGAAGCAGGGCCTCAATACATGTAGTGATTGCTTTGGAAGACAAAGGCCTTAACCTTAAACCTCCCCTTCTCTTCCTCCTCCTTTCCTTCAGCTTTTATTGCTGTGTGTGGCATTGTATGGCACAGAGCATTCCTTTGGTTGGTTTGGGTGAGCTGCTTGTGCCCCACACCAGCCTCCTTACCAACAGGGGCAAGTTGGAGAGGGAGCCCCAGTGAGGACACTGCTCAGTAACAGCCAAAACATCAGTGTGCTATCAGCACCCTTCTAGCCCCAAATGCAAAGCATGGCACTGTATGGGCTGTGGTGAGGAAAGCTAACTCCATTCCAGCCAGACCCAGGACAGACAGCATTGAAAGAAAAAATAAGCTGAGAATCCTGCTAACCACACTTCATTTTCACCTCGTTTTCTTACATCTGCTGCAATGTTATTGATTTCCATTAAATTTATCTACAATAATGTCATCCTCTGGTCCGAAGCACAACAGGAAGGCAGGTCTAAAGCTAAAAGAGGATTTGTCAGGAAGCGTGCTGTTCGTGCTAGTGGGGTGGATGTGTTGGAAGCGTATGCTGGAGCAATTCTGAGATTATGTTAAGTTGTGCTTGTAAGCTAAACCTGATCAGCAGTGAGGCCTGAAAACCTTGAAGGTGACTTTTCCTAACTTCAAATAGCAGTTCTGCCTTGAAGTAAAACATAGGTCCTCTGCTAGGACAGTTGGCTGGAAAGTGAATGTATGTGACAATGTACTCATGTGCAAGGCTCTCATGAAAGTGCATGATGCATATGTACAAATCTTGCAGAACTCATGGGGAATTTGTACAAAGAAAACAGTTTGTGGTGCTGGCTGACTTGGTTACGAGTCCATCAGTGGATTTGGTTCATAAACTCTGCTGGAAAGTAGGCACATACTGTGAATTTGGTTGCTTTTAGCTCAGTCTTTCATATTCCAGACTTTTGTATTACACAGTCCACTTCCTTTTCTGCTGAGCTTGAAAATACAAGGCTTTTGAAAGAAATAACATGTTTTGGCATGGGTTTCTCCAGTCACTTTAGCACTAGTGTCTAAGAGCTTTCCTGTATTTATGAAGATTAAAGCATCCCCTGATTAGTGCAACATTTTGCAAATTGCACAGAGCTGCTGGTGAAGGACTCTTGCAGATTGAGAGCCTGTTCCAGCAGCCTCTGAAATTGATGTAAAGATGAGCATTAGCAAATGCCACTTATAAGTGCTTTAGCAGAGGAACAGTTCATTAAAATCAGTGGCTTTTTCACAAGTCAAATGCAGCCGAAACAGAGCAATTCTGTCGTCTTTTACATAACTTTTTGTGTACGAGAGGTTTGGCAGGGAACACTCAGCAACAAGCCACTCTGCAGCCTGTAGCTAAAGCCAAATGCATTCCTCCTCACTCTCTGAGGACCAGAGATAAGATGATATTCTGGCTATAAGTTGGGATCGATTTTCATAGAGTGGGAAGGAGAAAATACCAGAGTGGGAATTATGATTAGAATTCCATTTTCTCTAAGTGTCATTTTGATGGGAGGGTGGGGAGGGAAGGGGGTACTTTTAAGCAAGATGCATTACCTAATACCTGAGAGAACTTAAGCTATACACTGCAGACAGTGTCTTTGTATATAGGAAGCGTTTTGTTGGCTCTTATTTGTGAACTTCTCTCATCGTATTGCCAGGCAATGCAGCTCGGGTATCTGAAGGGCAGTGGGAGTGGGAAGAGCATGTCCAATACTGTGTGTATTAGAGCTGGCGTAACAGCACTAGTCTCTGAAGAGAGAGACCCTTAAATGCAGTGTTTTTCCCAGCTGGAGTGCCAAATGTCTCTTGATTACCAGGCTCTTGACAGTCTGCAGATGAGGGGCAGAATGCACTTAGCTTTGGGGAAAAAAAAATAAATAAAATTACAGCTAACCCATCTCTTCTGCCTTCGTACTGTAACTCTTACTGCTCTCAGACTATATAAACTGATGCTTGTTCTTGAAATTTTGAACTTATTTTAAAATATTTATTTCCTGAAACACTGCTTAGGCATTTACTATTTGACAACATAGGACTTTTAAAATAACTCCAAATTGTACACTGTCAGGTTTTCACTCATAAAAATTCAGTCCAAGTCCTTTTAAAAAAGTCGGAAGATATGTAAAATGTTCTGTTTAAAAATGGGAGGGGGAGAAGAGCAATTAAAAATGTAAGAATAGAAGCTAATTATGAGCAATTCAGGCAGAGCTTTGTTTAGAAAATGTATCAGTATAAAATGGATAGGTGAATAGATTAGCGCTGATTGCAGTTTTTACATATAATAGTCTCTTTTTCATGAGTAATCATTAGCAATTATAATATAGGCTTTAAATCAGCCTGGGAAGGGACTGCACTGTAATATGAATACTAAATAATTGTACGTTCCCTGCTGGAAGAAGAAAACTTTGATTTGGTGATAAAACCCATAGCCTGAGTATTTCCTTGGACTCTGTTTGTTACTTGCTGTCTGTATTTCATCTCTGAGTTCAATAATGTCAGTATTGACTGCCAAGGTTCATCACACAAATGATCGTTACCTTGTGTTAGTTGGCGGTGGAAATTGTAATCATGCTTTTAAAGAAGTTTAACTTCATATATTAATCACGGGCATTATCATAAATTGCCAAAGGAAGAAAATATGGTCCAGGACATAAGGTGGATAAATAAATGTAACACACTATGTGGCCATAACAGTGCAAATACATTTGGAGGCTGGTTGTGTCACCAGTCAGGGGTGATTTACTTCCCAAACCTGAAGGTTCTGTGCATTAATGATTGTGTGGGACTGCATGGGAAGACCTTTTATTCCACTGTGCCTGTTAACACCTGGGATACTCCTTTCTTTTTGGGGTTGCTTGTAATGAACTTTCAAAAAGCAGGCTTGGTTATGCAGAGTGATTTCAAGCTGCAAATGCAGATGTTGTAGAACAGGAGCTTAAACTTCTACAAAAACTTGTTTTATTTTTTGAAATCTTCAAATTAAAACTGGCATTTAAAACAAACAAACAAATAAAACAGCTACTCCTGGTGGCTAGTTCAATTTCCTGGGGAATACTAATACGCAATTAAAAAATTGTCCTGTTACACATCTATGTTTCTGTTCAAGGTTGGGAACCTGTTATTTAGGTTCTTAATCCTTCCCTCAAAAGTATTTTTAAAAGATACATGCTTGACCAAGATTGAATGAAGTAGTCCAAATAACAGCAGCAAAGAGGTTTGTGAGAATATGGATCTAGACTCAGAGTTTCCTGTTGCCTTTAATATGTTGATAATGGTTTTCTGTGGAGAGGAGTGTTGTGCTTTCTGTCTGTCCCACTGCCAGTTTTTGTTCCACAACCTACCCCGCTTAGTGGCTAATTTTAACTAACCAAGACAGATGGTAGAAACTTTATGGAAAATTATAGAAATTTTCATTAGGCTTTGTGAAAAATCTGTATCTGAGCAAGGAAGAAATAGTTGTTTTCAGCAAGGGGAGTGAAGATGGTGGAAAGGGAAGGAGAATTGAGGAGGAAAGTGTGGGAATATAGTTGTCAACCAACAGGAAAAAAAAAAAAGGCTTTCAAGCGTGGTGACTGACATCTAGGCTTCAAAAAGGCTTTTGAATGGTGGAGTTCTGAGCTTGCCCCATCAGAATCAAGCAGGGTTTTCAGGACGTCCCTTAAAAAACTGCACACACACCCCTTTTAAGAGTTTAGGTCTACGCTCTTAGGTACCAGTTCATAGAAAATGTGTATGTATTTTCTAGAAATGTGGTCTGGTGTTTTTTCTTCTACTTTCAAATTTCATTAGGGAAAATGTTGAGCTTATAGCTTAAATATCCACTAAAAACAATGCCAGCCATCAAAAAAAGGCAACATATGGAAAAAATGAAAGTAAATGCACCAGGACAAAACTCCAGGGCCTCATGTGCATTCCCCCCCCTCCCCTCTCTCCCTCAAAAGAAAAAAGGGATTATTGCTTATAAGGCCTGACGTCTTTGTCTGTTGTTGTTTTGAAGGGGAGGTAGCTGACCAGCACCTCTGTGTTTTGGTTTTGTAGGTCCTAGCTGTCCCTTTCGTCTCTGGGGAAGACTAACTTCCAGAAATATGGGAGACAGAGACCATAATCTGCAGAAATCTGCATTCTAACATGCTGGCTCTACCCTGAGGAAATGCCCTGCAGGTATAAAAGCACTGCACACATTATGCTTGGCCGGTCCGAAATGAATACTTTCCCTCCTAACAAGGTCTCCTTTCACATGAGTCCTACAGGTTTCTATAAATAACAGTGTTTTTAATAGCCCAACCAACACACTAAAAAAATATTTTGGGAAATGTGGAATTAATTGCCTTCCTTCTCCCTATTTAGAGATTTCTAGGACTACATTTTTTTTTTTCCCCTTCCCAGTTCTCTATTAGAGAAACATGCAGTAATTCTTTACCCTGTAAGGGCTGAATTATCCACCATTTTTTCCTCAATTTGGCTATTACAACTGTGTTAATATTAGACTGTGAAAGAAGTAATCTTATTTTTAATGGGCTTACCCCCCTTCAAAAACAAGCAAAAACAAAGCCAAAACAAACAAACAAACAAAAAAAAACAACACAACAAAAACACCTACAAAATCCATTTAATGGAATGATTTGTTCCAGTTTTCATTAATTCTTGTTACAGTTAAAAGTAACACTTTTCAGTGATGTCTGAAACCTTATAGTAGAGTGTATTAAAGTAGAGCAATTCATTTTTCCCCAAAAATGTTGAATATTCTTTTTAACTGCAGTGATTCAGAAAGTTGTGGATTACTACAATATGGATTATTTTGGCTCAGCCAAATCTCAATATTTCAATTAACAAGTACTGGAGAAAACATTTTGTGTTGCTGTGTTAGCAGTGGTGGTTAAGCTGCTGCAGCTGGATATGTGATATGATGTAGCTGGATAGGTGATAGGGAGGTGACTAGTCTGCAGACACCTTCTGGAGTTTCTGTGCATTTAATTGTGCTCCTTGGTCACCTTCCTGAGCCTTGTGTCCCGTGGCACATGTGCTTTTGCACTGCTTTCTGCTCCCTAGCCAGGCATGCCCAGAGCTCCAGGAGCCACCTGCCCTCCTGGTCCGAGAGCCCCTAGCTCTCCAGATGCCCCTGTGTATGCCAGTAACAGGTACGCAATTCAGCACAAGAAAATCCACCAGATCCTGGCTGCTAGCAAGAAGCCACGATGGCTCTGATGACAGCATACTTTTTTTTTTTTTTTTTTTTTTTTTTTAATATATATATTTTATAAGTAGGTTGGGTCTCTTTAGGATTGGAGCAGTCCAATTCCCTCTTTTCATTGGCTTCAGGAGACACTCTGTATTCTTATTTTTTTCACTTTTTATTGTTTGTTTTTAGCAGTGTTACTTTATAAAGTGAAAGAAACAGCCTTGATATAGAGTGAAGTGAGGTAGAGGGAAGGGAGGGCTTTACCCTCTTCCTTCCCAGTTCCTACTTTCAATGCGGTGCAGATGCTCTGGTTCCCCACCACTCCCCCCAGCAGCCCTCTGGTCTGTGAGCAGTTGCAGGAAGGCATTTGAGTATGAAAGAAATGATGCATCAGGTGCCGAAGGAGAGGTTAAAATGTCTGTTTGCCCTGAGTCAGATAATAGTGTATATAGTACCGATAAACAGATGCACAGCTGTCCTTAATCTTTCACACTTTTGTTTATATACAGAAATAAATGTGTTTCCTCAAATGTAAAGTTACTATATTCATTTAAACAAATATTACATGTGTATGGGAACCTCAACCTTTATCTAGTCCATAAAGGAGATAGAGATTTTATTTTCTCTTCCTATAGGGGAGCTTCTGGAGAATAATCTCTTAGCCCTCCTTTAATTTTAATTTTTTTTTTTTTTTTTTTTTTTTTGCCCTGTCCCTTGAATAACCTTGTGGAAGGCTGAAACAAATGGAAATTCCTGTGTGAGCAAATAGTAATATGCAGCAAAATGGGGATTAAGCAGAACTCATGTCACTTCCCCAGTAATAGATTGCCATTAAGGAATGCAAGTAACAAGGCAAGCTCTCTGCCTGCACTGAATCAAGGAAGTTGTTCCTGCCCTGACCCTCCTATGTTTTTTCACCAGAGGATTGAGATTTAATTTCCATATATGATAGAGGGTTTTGACAGCTGGAATTTCTGTAGTGCTCGAGCTAAGCACCTCTGAGAGCGCTCTCGTTTGCACTCCTGCGGTATTTGCTGCCTGCTTTTGCAGACAGTTTTTTGTACTTGAATTCTGCTCACCTCCACATCTGGCTCGTCTGTGGTGAGCTGATAAGATATCAGCATATCTAAACGAGGAGCACATGAATGATCTCTTCTCGCTCTATTCTTTTCCTCCCGTGATTTGTAAGTGTTAAAGCACTCATCTGTTCTGGCAGTTAATGTATGCAGCCTCTCAATAGCTAATATCCTGTCATAGGCAGTGCAAACCAGCTTAATCTGGTTCACTGCTTTAGCAAGTAGTAGAGAAAATATAGGTGAAATGAAGAACTCAGCTACTAGCTTGCAGACTGGCACTTGCTCGGCTGTAAAGCAATACAGAAATATTACATGGAAGATTGTGTCTGTAACAGAAAGATCTACACTTTGTTGCTCACAACAGACTAGACATAGCTCTTTGTATCACCCTGCAGCTCTGAAGTCTATTACTTTGCAATATGAATGCTTATGTTTGAAGATTTAAAATGCAGATGCAGAAAATCTGCAATGAATTGTAACTTGGCACAGATGACAAAAAATGGGGAGAAAATTTGATATATATACATTTTTTTTGTCTGCAAAATCCATCATTCTAGACTTTTGGAAGTCAGTTTCATTTGTTTCGCTAATAAAATAAATAAATAAATAAATTAGTCATTTGGGCTCCAAATGCTTTTCTGCCCTGATATATGCTGGGAAAGGAGTTAATAAAAATGACTTAAAACCCAGACTCTTCCAGAACCTAACACCGGATTTTGCACCTATGGGAAACCTGGTGAAGTTAACCTCTGTGCCATTTTATTGCCAGCTTTGCCTTTTCTTCTGAGTTCCCCTTAATGTTTTCACAGCTTTCCCTCCTGCTTTTCCCCTGTGCTTTCACAATATGAATATTAATAATAAGAGTGCAGACCCAGTTGAACCTGAGTTTAAAGTTCAGTGTCCTGACTTTGAACTCTTTTGTCATCTCTGGGGATTTTTTGTGATGCACCCTAAATTATACAGCATCTCATGAGAGGAATGGAAATGAAGTGACTTTGTGGTGCGTGTCTTGGCTTCCCTTGAAAGAGCTCAGAGCTTCTGGGAGTTTCTTTTGCTGTGCCAGGCACTTCTCTGGGGTGGAGATGAATGGTAGAAACCTCCAAAGCTCCTTTTTGCGGGGAGAAGACAAGACTCTTACCTCTTCTTAAGAAAGCCGGGTGGGATTAAAAGTGAGGATATGGTGGCAATGCCAAGGGCTCAAGGGCAGGGCTGGGGAGATGCAGCCTTTCTGTGGTGATGATGCTCTTTCCTTGGGGCTGGTGAAGCACAGAGGCACGGACAGACACTGGTATGGTCGTACTGCAGCCCAAAGCTCCCTGTCTGGTGGGGGACTGCCAGTGGCTTCTCAGAGGTCAGCCTGGCTGTTTGGGGAGAGGTGTGAGAGCATAAGAAGGACCCTACTGCATATGCTCGTGGTTAAGTTATTAATTAACTGCATGATTATAAGCTTAGATGTTTTCTGAAGATGTTGAGGATATACTGTAATGTTTGTGGAGTGATACGTTTTTTTGTATGTTTAGTGACGAGCTTACAGTTGTCTTCATCGCTGTGAAGGTCCAACGTGGCTGCAGCACCTCACCCCTCCTCTACCTGCTAGAAAAATCTTGAACCACCCCATGCTACTCTTTCCTTCCACTTCTCTGTTAATGGAATAAGGAATTGCAGGCAAGAATCTCTTCAACATGAGGTTGAGATGTCTTCCTGAGGTGCAGAGGTTAGGGTAACTCTGTTCATCTTTTAATGATAAACAAAGGCATGGCTAAGTGATCTGTTTTTGAATATAGCTCCCCTTAAATGGAGGTGCCTGGTGAAATGTTTCCTTTTCAGCTCTTTTAGCCACGTTACATGTTAGAAGTTGCGTGTTAGAAGGAGCTGGCAGTGACATTTCTGAGGAGAACTCCTACCATGTCCTTCTAGAGGGGATTTTTGCGGTAGCTGGAGAAGCTTAGCACCTCTGCTGTGTCTCCAGCCTCTGGGAGTCAGCGGAGAGAAGTCTTCAGGCAGCGCCATTTTCTTGGTGCATTAATTCTGTTGGTGCATGAATTCTGTTCTGTCTCAGCTCAGATACAGGCTGGTGATCGTCTTAATTTTCCTTTTATTTTTTTATTTTTTTCCCCCTCTCTCTACAATAGAAGTATTGGCATTGGACCAAACAGTAACTTCAGCAGGAGGTCAAAAGCCAGCTTCTGTGGTGCTGCTGGAGCCTTGGAGGCCATGGCTCACAGGGCTTGTGATAGGAGGGGGCGGCCATATGCTGGGCTGCTTCCCGGTCCTTCTTGGATCAGCCTGCAGGAGCTCTAATAACAGGGGTTGCTGCAGTCCTACGGCTTTAGAGGGCTACACAATTTAATATTCATCTGAAAAAATGATAGCTGTTGCTGCAGGGCCTGATTGCACTGAGGCAAGTCCCCTCAGCAGATGGGCTTGGTCACCGTACCTTTGGATACAAGCCAGATATTCCTTGCTCTTTTAAGGAGCTGAGCTTGGTCACCTTGCCCTAGTGGTCATTAGCATTTTTTATTCTTTTTTTTTTCTGGAATAACAGCTTTCTTCTTCTGCCAGCTACTATATTTACTCTTGCAAAAGTGTGATAAATATGCAGTGTGATAGACATCCATTTATAATCATCTATGTTTTCTTGTGAGATACCTCAGTGCACTGAGCAGACACACAAGAAGAAGGATAAAGACTGTACAAGTTGCCATGAATCTGAATTCCCCAGCTTAAGTGTGTGTCATCTTGCTTTCTAACTAACGTTCTAGTAGCACAGTTTTGGGCTTTTAATTTGCACCCAGAGTTACTTTTTGTGTCCTTGTGCTTTTCCTAAAATTAAGGTTTTTACACTGATCTCCTCAGCGCTCACGTTTTCTCATTAGTATTTTGCTTAGGGAGTGTTCTCTCAGGCT